GGTGCAGTGATTAGGCGCCCCCTATGGTAGGCGCGGCGCGTGACCGAAGTGCAAGCGGCTGAATTCCGAGCGGTACCCTGTTATTACTACCCTTCAGCCCAAATCGCAAGCACTTTCTGGCCAGAAAACGTGGTACGCTACAGCAGCTGCGACCTAATCGCTTCGCATATGGCAAGGACCATCCTCGTAAGTGGGTGTAGAGTTTCTCTTTGATGTCAGTCTCTCAGACCACTGTAAACACTGATAAGTAAGCCTCTCTCCATGAAAGCCAGCTGAGGTCAATCTTTAATTAAATACATTAATTTATGAGACACTCTCACTCCCGTGTTGTAGGACATATTATCAGACATGAAAGGCATCACAAAATCATAATGAAGGTGGCATCAGAATTGCCCGCAACGTTGGCTCATCACATGCTTCTGCAGCTGTCTGCCCATCACTGTTACGCACCGTTCGATCGGCTCCTTTGGATATCAGAGTCTCAGCTGCGGCTTGACGATGCAATACGCCGCTAAAACAATAGGTTTTTTTGAGTTCAGAACGACGCCAGTTTCTGACGAGTTTTCTGCGAAAGTCTATTCACTGGTTTCACTCTACGCCATTGCGCACTTCCAAGACATTTCGCACAGTTGAGTTGGCATTTGAAAGAACTATTGGGCACACGTACCTATGTCAATGAAAAAACATCAAAATAAGCGCTAGCGCTAAGTTCAGCTTAGGTCCGCTCGATTAAAGGCACAGTTCGCGACCGCAAATTGCGGGAAACGGAACTCAAATAGGCACAAAAAGTGCTAAGTATCTGATTAGCGGAGAAAAGCAGCAGAAAAAGCAGTCCGAAATGTTATAGAGAAAGATAACATAGTGGCTACTAGCTAGTAGCTAGCAGCCGGTGAGGGTCGGCATGGGCCTAAGGGGTGTCCATGGGCCTAATTAGTCAGCTTCTAGCGGAGTTCTTGCCGTTTTTCACATTTTGAAAGTAGCGCAGCCCGTAAATCGCCTTCCGGATCGTCCGACACATTTAAGGGGTCATAGCCTTATTTTATCGCGGAATGTGCCTTAATATGCGTATTAGAGACATGCCATAGGTGTCGCACGCTTCTCGCGTCACATCATAGGCGACGAAATCGCATTTACAAAATAGACCCATTCAATTTCTTCGCTTAGTTATACAGCGGTAATTATTTAGTAGGGACGAAAACTTTCGTCCGGCCCGAAAGGAAGCCGCTACACTGTGGAGTGTAGGAATTCTTCGGTGTTCGCTCGGTTCGGGCTAGAAAAGGGAGGATAAAAAAGGATAAAGGATAAAGTCTTCGCCGTTGATCAGTCCCTTTTGGGATGCGCACACGCATTCTACTTCCATTCAGAATCGTAGTGGCTTATTGAATGCGATGTGGCCTATACAATGACTTGCGGTGGCCAGCCGATGTACAAGTCAGTGTTTTATCCTCCCAGACGAAATCTGGTACCAATTTACCGTCCCCGGAGTCGCGTAAAAGGCTTGGCTTGGACTGGCGCGGGTGTCGACCCGCGGATTCGAACCCCGGCGCGCCGCGGAGTGCGTAAGCGCCCACTTGTCACTGAACCACCCTCCGCCCTAGAAAGGGAGTAGGAGCATTTCGCACGTCGCTGCGTTCAGCTAGCCAACAGCTCTTTGCGGTTTGGCGTGGACACTGCCAAAGCTGTTTGTAAAGCCCTAACAAATGTACAACGAGGCCACTATATTAACCAGAATTTGACAGGTCACAAGCTTGCGCAAACTCTGCTGGAGGTACCATTTGGTGGCCACACCTAGCCAACCTACACCGCAACTAATTTTTATAGAGTTCGTATCTAAAGGTTCTCTTATTTCGTTTAAATGATTCACCCACTCTGGAGCCCTTCAGACCCCACTTGGAGTGTTGTGACAAGACAAAATGTTTAATGTGCCTAGCAGATTAGCGCGGTGAGGAGGCGTTAAGGCCCCGAAGGCATGAACTGATCTGCTGATCGGTTCGAAGGTGAACTGTCAAATGGGTCAAAAATTTGATATAGCACTGATGGAATTCTAGGGTTTCCGCCGCTTGAATTCATAAGAGTTTTGCTGCTCCAATCTACAAATCGATGCACAACGAGATTTTGCCGTGATTCGTCGCACGCGACGCGAGTCCTTGCACTATTCGTCGAACGCGACAATGCAACAAATTATGATTGTCTTGTCCATCTCCCCCTCACGCTCATGACGTATCATGACCGTGAGGGGGGAGGTGAGTATATCCTAACAGGGACTGCATATCTGAGTGGGACGACCGCCACCTTCTTGAATGGAAGCAGGACAGCAGGAGTAAGTTTCGCCTTTCAACTGCCTCATCCTCAAGACTGAAGGTTGGTTTAATCCCGGACCACAGAAGACATCAAGGCACCATGATCAAATTCAATAAATTAAAAAACAAGCGAATTGATAATTATTTATTAACTGCTTACCAAAATGCAACGGAGTATTGCCTTCTGGGTCTACTGCATTGACGTCGACTCCTTTTGAGATCAAAAATTGTATCACTTTATCGCAACCGGAATCAATCGCCCAGTGCAAAGCAGTCATCTGAAAATCCTCATGTTCACTCATATAATTCGTATTAAACCTAATGACATACGCCTAAATGCTGATCGGTACTATTAAGTAGCTCCGGTCTTCGTTCGAAAATATCCTTCATCGTACTTTCGTCGTCAGCTTTCGCTGCTGTAAACCATACAAACGCTTCGCGATCACATGACAGACAACGGAACCGGATCTTTGATGACGACTCACTTCTGCAAGTAGTTTTGTCCAGACAACAACCAAAATTTAGTAACTGAAACTGAATGATCACGAGTTCGATGAGAACAGAGTCCGGGGAAAGGAAGCACGTCTACTTCTCCTTATTTTACCCCTCAAAGAGACTCCTTATGATTAAAAAAACACGTCATTGTTTTCAGTCTTCAAAACATGGCAGTTTCAGAATGAATTTGGCCTTTTTTTTCCTGAAGGTAGAATCTGTGGTTGTCATTTGGCGGTAGTGGGGTTCAAATATGAATAGCAAGCGAGGAAGAACGCAGCGAAGAAGAAAGCAGAAATGAAACTGTTGGAACACCCTAAATACACCAATTGGTTCCTAGAATCACAGGAATGAGCGGCAAAGAGATCTTGTGTTGATAAGATAAACAGTCGATGGAATGGAGAGAGATAGGGGAGATAGAGAGAGAGCAGAGAGAATGGGAGAGAGAGGGAGAGGCACACAAATCATTTAGAAACCAACCGCCTATGTAGGAGGGGGGGGGGGGCAAAACTGATTCTCCCTGACTTTCAATGCGCTATTAGTTACACTTTACCCAATTCTGACTGAACATTTCCACCACCATATTCAATACTACATTGTATACTATAATGATACTCCTCCACAGGCTTCTGGAAGAGCGCATCGAGAGAATCTGCCGCGCGATCGTGATTCGGTATCTGAGTTCAGCGAGGTCGTTGATTTCTCCGCCACTTGACCACCCTGTATGAAAAAGTTCCGGGCCCGAACCTGGTAAATCGAGGGGGTTTGGGTCAGGTGACACACTTGGATATTCCGTCTTCTTCAGGTACTCAACGCCCTTCCATTCCAAGTAGGCAAGAGTTTTTTCAACGCCCTTCGATTCCGTGTGGATAGCAGTACGAAGTTTCCAGAAGGTACGGGCGATGACATGAAGGCAGGATATTCTTCACTTGGTTGTTCACCTTCAATCCGAGGTCCGCGAAGAAAATATCGGTCTTCTTATTCCAGGAACTTCCAGACCATACCATCACCCGCGCCTTGGAGCTGCAGTGAAGATGATATCCTAGACCATAGTTGTTGGAGCTGCTCGATGATGGAGGTGTTCCAGATCAAGTGTGTCGGTCTCCAGGTAGCTATCATGGGTTGACTCCAAGCCAGAAGTTTCGCAGCTGTTTGGAGGTGACGTGAATTCCAAAGATCTTCTCCAGTCAGGCTGCGACTGGAGATGACTTCATATTTTGGTGTACATGAAGGTGATGGGCGAGAGCGCTCCTGCTTATCGATGAACATCGGTATCTATCCACTCTTGGTAGTACCTCGTATCACGTCCTCTGTCCTGGGCTGGCGAAAACTTTGCTTGATATTCTGACTCGGCCAAGTGGCTTTTTGCCCCCCCCCCCCTCCTCTCTGTACAGGATGGTGGGTGGAACGATATGAAGGTTCGGGGGGGTGGGATGTAGGTAGAGACGAGAAAGCCGGCACAGCCCTGGCGCCTTAGTGCAAGTGACGAGATATTCCTTTGCGTTGCACGGACTGGGACGTGTCTGGTATCAAGGGCCTTCTGAGCTATTGCGTTTGAGCAGACCCTACGCTCATCAGTTTCGAATCAGAACTGCCTTGCATTGTTTATATAAACTGCGACTAAAGATGGCCGCTCAGATGTATGGTATAAAAACATTGAACTGATAAGCGTGCTCCAAGTGTGACCTTCAAAATGGTTAAGACCGCCGTTATACATGATGCCAGAAATGCCGAAACGCACGGAATGTGCAGACTGACGGAACTTTGCAGACATGCGAGAATTGGTCGGAACGGGGGGACTTGCAGAGAAAAAATGTGTCTATTCGCATTTAAAACTGCGGACATATGCCCAGAAATGCAGAAGTGCGGATTGCCTGCAGAAAATGCCGAATGCAGAAATTCCGCTGGTGAGGCAAAGCGATCAATCCCTATCAGGTCATTGCCCGTCATTTCGGCACTTCTGCAAATTCCGTGGAATTAGCAGAAATGCTGTTTTCAAATCGATGCGTATACATTTCCTGTCTGCAATTTCGTCATTTCTGCATGTATGAACGCGGCCTTAGTCCGCAAGCATCCTTATGGCTCAACGCGGAATTCCAAGCCCAAAGAAAAGGTCGGACTACATGAGAAAAAAAGCTTGTGCCCACCTCCGAGTTACTTTTTCTCTGTCTATTCGCAACTATGTCTCGAAGAGAGTAAAAGCTTAAACTAATAAAAACGAACTATGACAGCTGGCCGGCTTGGTCGGACACCGAAACCTTGTGATGAGTGCTGAGAAGATGGATCCCAACCTAAGTTCATACTAACCATCTTCGTTACATACCTGAAGAAATAATAATGACACAGACTAATGTTATTTTACCATTATTTTTTGGACCATTCAAATAACAGTGGTAGATAGCTCTAATCAAATGGCAGTGATAATGAATATAAAACAAAACTCTCCTCTTTACCTCCTGAGTTCTGAGACCTTTGAATTGAATTCTACTTCGATTTGAGATTAATCAACCGCTAAGAAGAATATCCAAAGAACAGATTCACTCACGTTTTCATAGCCACATCTTTCGGCATGTCGCCGAGCCGAGCCCATGCTTCATACTTTATCTTTCCTTTTGCATCAAAGAAGGAAGGCCGGTCGGCAGGCTCTAAATAAACAGTACACAGTAATCTCATCACCAAGAAATACATTGGAAGGCTTTGTACGCATTCGGAATTCGAGCCGGAATTTGAACAATTTCTCCCCAGGAGAGATTTCACTAGAGTTTCCGTCATCGGGGAATGTTTGCCCACGTGTATGCGAACATCCCTGGCGCTCAACTTTAAATCCGTCTAGCGCTGACCCCAGGCGGTTCAACCGATGTACTTTTCTTGTTAGGGGGGGGGGTCAGATTACTCTGAGGGACGATATTTTGGACAAGTCTACCCGGAAACCGAAACACGGCTCGATTTTCGGAGGGCGGAGCAGTGAGGAAGAGAACTGCCAAGTTCTATAATGAGGACTACGTCCTAAAAATGGAAATGCTAAATGTGCAACTTCTTAGTCACATCAGAAAAGACGAATCGAGCTTTCAGCTTGGTCTTCATGAGAAACCTTCTGTGCAGGCAAATGGAGGAATGCGGCTACCAAATCATCGAAAAGTGCAAAAGAACATGTTCTGTTCCTTGCATGTATTCTTATTATTCTCTGATCGTTCAGAGCCAGAAAGTATGAGGGCAGCCCTACACATTATAAGAGAACGTCGCCTTCGGCAGCGACATTTACAATTTACCAGTCACTCCAATATAATCATCAAAATAACTAACGGGCTGGTCCTGCAGTTGCTTGCTTGTAGAGTCCATAAAATTGTGTGAGATCATTGCGTTCGAGTTTGCCGACGATGCTGGGAAGATAGGCAGAGGCGGATCGGAACTGTGCTTTCAGTGCCGGATCGATCTTCGCCTTAAATAACGTGAGGCTAGTTGCAGACAATCTAAAATAAAAAAGGAAGGTAATAAAAAATTGGGATTTGTGATGAAGTGAACCTTGCAAGGGAATTTCATAATGGAACAATGGCACAACCTCCTCCACGATGATCACGAAGGTAAGCGAGCCTGATTCACCAAGAGTTAGAGGGATCCATACCTTACGTGAGCGTCTTGAGCGTACGGCAGCGTTCTGAGCGACTACGAAAGTATAGTTACCAATCCAGCGTCTTTCAAAACACAGGATCGGTACCTGTAGTTTCCTAGTCGCTCAAAACGCTCAGTAGCTCATGCAAAATATAAAAGCACTATTACTCTGTGTTAACACACAACAACTTGGACGAATTGTGTAATCC